GATGATATTAAGCAGAGAGACGGCAAATAAATTAAGTATTCGAAAATGGGCGTAGTTTCTTTAAAATAATATTTTTGTATGAAGAGTGTAGCCATTATACGATGCTCAAACGCTTGAACCACATATGCCATGTATGAAGTATCGCGGTGATCTTAAGGAGCCTTAACTCTAAAAAAAAAACACTTTGTTTCGACTTTATTATGCCTAAGGCGTAAACCTATCGAGCGTCTCTTGAATGTTGCCGGCGGAATGAGAACGTAAAACGTACTGCAACGTACTCAACTTACGTTATCTACCAGCCACTAGTTGGATTTTGTAGAATTGGCTTGAAGATGCTCGCAAGAAAGTCGTTTGCAAGAATGGATAACTAATTTAGTAGCGCTACCGAAACCGTGTTTATTGTTGTTATTATAAGTATGTTGGTCGAGTGACTATTGTCGCTAGATAGAGTTATTGAACTTCTCGACCCTAGTAAGCCTTTTTTTGGCCTCACATGGACATCAGGCTCACATTTACGTCACGGTAGTGTGCGACTTTAATCAGCATTTCCTAGTTGCAATAGCTCACATTAAAGAAGACACCCTTTTCCGTCTTTAATCGGTCGTTACATTAGTACTATTACAATGCCAAAGCGGCCATCCTGTTAAGCCTCTCTATATTTCGAGGTTCACGTTTGATATCGCCGTTACGCATCCCATCAGACGGTTGGTTCCTGCCAGCACAAAATAAGGTTTATTTATGCCCGGGCTCGAATTTAGACCACAACGTGTCACTAAGATTGGCAGGTAAATACGTTCTTCTTTGACTACTACGAAACAGGTTCGAACGTTAAATACGCTACTGTATAGTGTTATACGGGTAGTTAGCCTTTGTGACTTCCCAACCGTGATTTCATGACATAGATGGTTTAATCTTCTAAATCACCATCTTCTGCGTTAGTTACTGTTCCTAAATCGGACCAACTCCCCTTTTACACATCTGCCATCAAGACCAATCCAACTTCTGTTTTCTAAGTTAATCGAAGCACACAAAACCGCTTTTATAGGCTCTTTCGTTATCGTCTATAACCTTTAAGGTTGAAGGCTTTTTTCATTTCTGATTCTCTATAACTCTGTGAGCCCTTTGTTGGTTCACCAATTACTATTATTTTACTATTATTATTACTACTACATAAAACCCAGCCAACAGCATGATAACTGGCTTGGCCAAACATTTCGGCTGCCGTTAAACCCGCTGAACTCGCGGCGGCACCTGGCATCATAAGCGACCTAAGTTGTTCGAGAATCCGGTACGTTTTTTGTACTATAATGAAACGACTATTATTCCCTGAGTTTAAAAAGGGCATCTTCGGAGACGGAAAGAACTTCTTCAAGTGGTGATGGCATTGAATAATTTAAACAGACTCATCAGAAGCCGTTTACTAGCACTGCAGTGGCTCACTCCATTATCGGCTGGTGGAATTCAATTTGATTGATATTTACGTATCTAACAATATTTTCACGGTGAATAAAGATTTGGGCCATTGGGGTTAGGCGGCGAAGCCAAGACCTCCTTGATTCATCGAATGCGGGAGCAGAAGGTCTGATTTTTCACGAAGCTGATTTTACCATTAACGGTACTCAATATATGTAAAATTCATTGATACAATCATAGCTTAACCTAACTAGGCCCACACATCGACTGCACGAAATTGTCATTATGCTACGGACGGCCTCTTATTTCTGGTTTAAAGCACAAAATGGGGTGTTCCTATACCGCGGTTCAAACCTACAACGAAACGCGTCCCTGCGATTCGTACGAAAGTATATTACCCACTGAGCTTTTACGAGCACGCTTGATTATGTCCAAAGGACGTGAGCTTGCATTTGTAAGATTACGTTTCGAAGATTTCCTCTACTTCGGTTGTTTTAAATGTTCCTTATGTTGTATTGTTAAGTAGATTATCCATCAAAACACGGCTCATCAAATGCAATTTTATTAAAAAATAGGCTTCCTATTTTTTTAATCCACAGAGAAAAATCCAGTGTTTTCGTATTTGACGATAATACACTTTAGTTATTAGTCTACAATTTATTTGTTAAATATTTTGTTTACTCTGACTTTGTTTACAAATAACGTCACCTTTAATTCAAATTTTGGTACCTTCAATCGCAAGCTTAAATGAGCTAGTTTTTGGCCTTCGACGCCTATGGTCTATTACAAGAACCCTACAGGCAGTATAAGCTACGAATAATTTTGCAGAGCTAATAAGCAATTTACGATCGAGTTGTTTCCTAAGAGGTTCACGGATAGGTCAAAGCACATGTCAAGTATTGCATAAACCAAGTTGGTCATGGTAACATAAAGTTACCATAAAGTTAACATAACCACGAAGCTGTATTTAGCAAAACAAAACACTGCAGTGCTTTTGTGTTTATTAGTGTCACTGATTAGCAATTTTTAACGGTTCGTACTTCTGGGTATTACTTTCCAACAAGTGCCTAAAGGGTCTGGTGAATGAGAGGACAGGGTAAAGCAAATGCCCCTCTAATGGCCGCTAATTTGAGCGATGCAGCTTCGAGAAGCTATTTATAATGTGGCAAAGAGTTTTTAGGCCTGGCCGCGTGAGTAATTAAGGAGCGAAGAACCTATGGACTGGGCTGTCGTCATAACGTTCTACATAATCAATAATTTTTTTAACAACCTACTCAGCGTACAGTACAAGTACAAGACCGTAATAATTTGTATATGCCCGACGAGTTTAAAACTAAGGACGTTGCTTTTAACTTTATTGTACAATTATTATATAGAGACGAGGCACTGACACCTAGAACTACCTTTTTCCGAAGTCAACAATGAGGCCGTTAGGACTGAGTAAAAAGAAACGCACTGATGAGTTTTTCTTACGAAGAACCTGCCTCGCCTGCGGACGCAAAACTGAAAATACGGTACAAAGTCCGTCGAACCGAATAGAAAATTGTCCTATTTTAACAACAGGTTCCTTTATATGCGAGTTTGCAATTCAGAGTAATTCTTGTGTGGTGCTACAGTTGCAGCACAAAATTATTCGTGACACACTTGACAGTCGCCCTTGAAAAGCACCAAAACGGTATTTCAAATACCCAGGATCTATACGCTGCATTTTCAAAATGATAACAACTGCCCTTTAACATACCCATTTTAATACCTAACTGATCTATACTGCGCAAACGTATCATACAGGACACAAATTATTATTAGTTCTTATGACATTGTCGTAAAATGATCCAAGCCGGATGGCTACACTAAACACAATTAATAGGGGAATACTCTACCGACTATATTCGTATGGTCTCGCGCCTGATCGCATGATCAGATACAACTGAATCATTTACCACGCCGGTTACATTCATATCTTCGTCTCTAAGTTCGTCGTCCGATGTTAGAAGTGTTTCGGGTCAGGCCGCGTCATGTCAGTCTTTTTACAAGGGCTGTGCTTGAAATCGCGGACGCTCGTGAACATCTCTATGTGCTCCGCATCTTGCCGCGTTCATTGCACTTGAAGGATCGCTTGGCCTTGCGGATTCGATTATGATCAATCACGGCCGCCTCGCATAAGAATGCCGATAGGCTTTGTCGCGGACAACAGTTCTTCTTTTTGGCCGAGTGAATGAAGCATTGTCGCGGCGTTTTTGTGCACGGATGCTAAGCTGGCCTTTATGGATGAACAGTTATTCAGGCATTGAACAGACATTGCAGTGGACGCTGTCGTACGTAACTTACGATATGCAGTTCATGCTCGGTTCCGACCGCAGTTTCTTCTGGCAAAACATCCTCGTAAAGACATTTTTACTATACAGGTGCGTATGGGTTCTTAACGAATCACGATTCGTGCAAAGTCGATGTCGTTTTGTATGCCTGAACGGTTTTTTTCCTGCATAAATTGACACGTGATTGACTGAAGTGGATTTACATCTGAACGTTACCTAGGACTCTTGACGCACGGCGTAATTTGCCTTCGTCGCATACGAACTTGTGTTTGCCCTCACGAATGTCCGGCTGTCTCTTTGGAGTAAAATTCTTATAGCAGCACTGCTATTGTGAGGGTCAATCCTGTTTGCGTTCAGAAAAAACCTATATTATGAAAAACCGACACGCAAATACATCTTCACGGAACATCCCCAGGTGTCACTCGTGCGTATCTTGATTTGCGTAGATCTGATCATATTCAGTGTATTTCTACCAGGACTAGGCTTGATCTTTTTTTTTTTCTAATATTGTTAGCCATTCTACATGACGCGACTTCCTTCTACTTGGTCCTTTCAGGCACCGTTCTTGATGACAACCTTATGTTCTACCCTTGTAACGTTCAAGAATCGAATCACCGTTGGCGATGACATTCTAAAGGTCTAGTTAACTCCGGAGATGTTTGACGTTCGAATACAAGCGACATATGTGCGGACGATCTTTCGCTTCTTTGGCCAATTCGAAAAAACAAATACTTCCTCAAGCTGTTCCCGAATCGGAATACTCGACGACATAAGCGTGCTCCCCGGAAAAGCTATAAGTGGTGAACGCCTGTTTCTTTACCTGCCGACGAATCGTGCGAAACCCACGCCTGACTCTCATTTAAATAGCTGAGTGGAGCCGTGAGGAGCCACAGTTGAGAATACAGAATAGGACATCTATACATCTTGCGATTTACGATTTTAGGGTTTACCGGAGCATCCACGGAAAGTGAAACAGAAAAAGAATCCGTTCATGAGAAGCCGTATGGTTCTTGTTTGAGGCGGCCCCCTATAAACAATGCCAAAGGCGTGTGGACGCCAATCTCCACATGTCCCCATTCACATATACTTATACGGTTGTAATTATTGATATTCCAAACGTTCTATATGCTGAGATGAGTGCGTTAACGCGACCTAGCAGATCGGACTGACACAGCGGGACGCAGATATACTAAACCGTATTAAATAAATCCAGTAACAATTGTTACCTAGTAACAATTGTTGAGCTTAATATCAAATGGCAAAAGTCTGCTAAACTTGATCCTCCGATTTCTAAAATTAAACAAAAAATGGCATATGTCTTCTGAAACTATGTAGACATGGTTACGTACGTAATAGTAAAAAAAAATTAGTCCATCGTGCGCGCTCTTTGAGCGTTAGCAAGCAGACACACAAAGCTTTGCTTTTATTTATAAAACTTCGTTTATTTGGTTTAATTCATTCATAGGCATTGTTCTTGATTTCCCTATCGCTATTACTCTGCTCATATCTGAGACGACGGCAAATGAGATACTTAAACGCGCAGCCAAATTCATTAAAGAACAACAAACTGTTCTTCTATTTAATCGTCATCGTTATTATGGTATAATCATGAATGAATTATCCATATAAATTAAACTAGATATGCCAAAACAGCAGAGCGTATCACCAGATAAATGAAAGAGTCTCATAGGCGCTGCTCGCGTTCGCGCCATGAACTAAACTTTCGCTTTACTAGTATCCAAAAAAAACGTCTTGAAAGCTTTGAGACTGTTTCATCTGATCATCTGCATGATTCGATGACTAAATCCCAGACTAGGCCGATTAGTCGGCTTTAAAATCACCAATGTTAAAGTGTAGTCTCTTGGGCAAAGCCGTTGTCCAATCGGCACAAATACATATCGCTTTGGCCGGCTTCATCCCCTTGAACGATGCTGACCATATCGTCACCGGGGCCGTAATGGTCTGAAGTGGGACTGCTGCCATTGCTGCTACCCATAACGTTTATTATACCGGAAGCATGTTGTATATCGACGCACATGTCGCGCTCACCGTCCGCACGATCTCTAGACCCTAAACGATCATCTCCCACGCGACGTATGTGAGGCATGTGTCCGTCTATGGCAGGTACGTTAGCCGAGCTAAACAAGTCATTCGTCGCGTAGCTGCTCGATGCAAAAACGGACTTACGAAACCGACGCATTTGGCCGCCGGATCTGCCTCCGATCTGCAACGAACGTGAGCTTTTCGCGTTCATTTGGTTCTTGCATGAACTCGCCGTAGACGATGTCTGGTTCAATTGTGGACGGTGACCTTCTGTAGTACTATTAATTGAACCATTAGTAGTACTACTACAATTACTGTTATGGTTATGCGGAGAGGTTGCTGTGCTGTTTGACCCCGGAGTGTTCGCGCAGGCGATATCCTCCCGGTAGATGCCAGCTCCGGTCAACTCATATTTTTTAACACCATTAGCATACGGATTATGACGCTGGCCGTATTTTGGCCCGAAGTGCCGCACCGGCTGAATGTTAAGCTCACCTTTAGCTCGAAGTCGCTTGATGAGATTATCCACAACGGCTACTCGTTTGCGACCTTCCTTAACATCCGCCATTATGTCCTATTGGATACAGTACGTACTACTAGACGCACCGCGCGTTACTTTACGAGGGCGACGCTCACACCCACCAATAAACCGAACTGTTCAGAAAGTTGCAACAAAATGGACAGCTTGTAATTGATTTAATCCACCCCCAATAACGAACTAGGAGCAAGTGAATACCAGAAGACAACCCACAAACTCCTTTGTTGTCACCGGAGTTCCGTTCTGGTGAAGGAAACAAGTCGCGTGCGACTCCTACCTTTAACCGTCCATACGATGACGAAAATCTTCAACGGCTTATCCCGCTTATTTCGTCGATTCTAGCAAATTGATACAAAGCAAAAGTCAACTGGCAGATTTTGGCAGATTATGAGGCGTAGACTCCCCAGGGCGTCGTTTTAGCGGAGACAAACGAGCTATTCGGGGTTGATGCCGCTATTCTACACTCGTCAATGCCAATTGGACCAAGCGTCCTCTTCACCGTTCACCACGAAAGTCGCACTCTTCGAGAAACGTGTGCCGAAAAAACTAACCAAAAAAACAGCGAGCATAAGGTGAGACGAGCGTATGCCCACTTTGGATAGCGATTCCTATTTCGGTTGCCGTCTTGCACCGTCTTGCCAGGGCCCAAATGTTGTATACATTAAGGCACGGAAACCCTAATCGCACCAGGCGTTCGTCTGCTCGCAACTCAAGTTACAAATATAGCGTTTTTTTTTTATATGAAATAGACACTGAAATTATAGGAGCGGTCGCAGATCGTTTAAGAACAACGAAAGCTCAAGCTGATTCGAAAAATTGCTTAGTGTAGTGGTGGGCGGGTCATCGGGAACAAAAAGGGCAAGAGAGTATTAAATAAATGGAGCCGGAAAGGAAATATCTAGGGAACGATTGTTACCTGCTGGTTTATATCGCTATTTAGGTTCTTTCACTACATTATACTTTAATCAACATCTATTATTAAAGTTAACACTTTGCTAAATGTTATAAGATGCAAATTCTATGGCTTGTTCCCGCCAAGAGCCTATTTAAAACACTACGTATAGTAACTCTCTTTGTATTAAGCTGCCATAATTAGGCTAAGGATTTCGTGTACTAAAGATATAGCGACAACGCTGAAGTAGGATATTCCGTAAAGATTCAGATCTGCATTCGATAACTTGATTTCTTTATACTAACACTATCTGATCAAAATTAGGTCGACATTTGACCGGCCATGAATGATGACATGTATGCATCATGATCTGTTATTTGTTACAATGTTATTTGTCGACGCGAAAAAGCCAACCAAACGAAAACAAGAGGAAAAGTTTGTAGTATTCTTACATCACATGTACATTAAATGTTTCTACAAGTAGATCTTTCTGAGGACACACGTTTAGATCTTCATCGCCAGCTTCAGAAACGATTCCAACGTAAACGTAATTAATTCCAGTTAAAAGTTTGCCGCATTTATTGGTTCAGAAGTTTTGATACGGTTCTTACGTCGAATTGATTTAACGATCGTGCGGCTTAAGCTGCATCGAGTCCTGCATATGCAACATACGTGTTTCAAGTTTTACGTCCGTAATCGACGTCAGCCATTCCGTTAGACATGCAAGCTAACGCTGGCCTCAGCGGAAAATGTTGATTGTGTATTCTAGTCTATACATAATTCAGCCGATAACATGAAATTATTAGCAGTGTCGATAGGCTGTCGCTTACTCGCAGAGTTCGTTCCCGTAGCTCAGTACTTCCGGATTGCAGTGTTGGTTTAATTAAGAAACTCAGCTATCTGATGCGTATGTTTCCCCCGCTGGCTCTTGTTTGAAATAAACAAATATTTATTATTATGTATTAAATTAACAAATACAATAACACAACTCGTAGAATAGGTACAACTATATAGACGAATGTCCTCTTCTCTGGCACTCTTTAATCGTATCCACCTTAATAGAATTAGTTATTGAGCGTATGTTGGCAATACCGCTAGGCTGACTATCGTTTTCCGACAAATATCGAAAACGATCCGCGATTGCACTGCGAACCACAGAGGGCAACTCTTGCTCTCTTTCGCTACCCTGCCCCAACTAAAGCGACCGGCCGTGGCGCAGCGTTAGACGGCTGCCGTCGGCCTCTGCCTATTTCTGTCCTGGCGACAGGAAAAAAGTACCACTAGTGGAGGTAATGTAATAGAATGGCCACCTACCGATGACGCGCTGACGTCTAATGGATATAACGCGAATCCGTAAAGCAACGGTAACAGCACTTTTCATTAACAGATCCCGGCAACAGGACGGACAGTAACACCGAGGAGGGACATAAGGGAAAATAGGCGGTCGAGATCTGGATCGGGAAGACGTCGCCTCAGAGGGATTCCTAGCTGCACCCAGCTAGCTGTGTCCGCTAAATCTACCTCCATTACCTGATGGCTATACAATTGAACGGAATCCCTCTCTGCCCCGAATCGGATGCTGTTGACTGAGGCTTTTAGTTTCTCTACAGGCTAACTTATATGCCTGATCTTCTAGGGACCGATTGTAGGTTTGGTCGTACCTTTTTTGCGAACAAGTGCTATACCTAATTTTCTAATTCCAACATTTGCTCAACGTAAAAGCTATGGAAAGATGGCTATATATGTTCGTCTTTACTGTGTTGAATTGAATGTCGAGCTTTTCTTGCAGTTCTATGATATGATGAAATATATATATATATATTTCGGGTCATAGATATATATTTCGGATATAAGGCTACTATGAACAAATCCTGCGGACTTTGAAATTCATTAACTTTTGAGCTAGTTAAACTAGGACGATGATTACTAGCTGCTAGAGACGCTCTTGATCATTTTTTGCACACTCATCCCAGCGTTTTGGCATTTTTTGGATAACCATATACTTAGCATTTGCGCTCCCATTGTATTTCCTCTATATATGGGTTCACGAAGGAAATCGGTTGTGGAATATGCTTGCCTATCAATCGCTTTTATTGAAGCACGGAAAGCCCCGTAATTACTTAGATTGGGAGAAATAGCCGGTTTAAATTAACGTTGGATAATATTTTGTCCAGTTTATGAAGTAACTGAGGCATAGCAATAGATCTAGCGTTATCATGAAGTAAACCAGGCTGTGCTCTTTTGATTGATCATGATGCGCCAACAACCTCTTGAGGAGCTCGACCTAGCGGGCTCGACTAACAGTTTCATTCTCGGTATAGTAACAAATTGCACTAAGTGTAATTACAGGCATATTTAGATCCGAGCGTAGTCAAAACTGCCACCGAACTTAACATCCGGTCACCTTCTCGCTAGCCTTCAATATTGCAGTCTTAGTTCATAAAATGTTTTTACATTTTTTTTTTTAACATTTAGGCACTATGCCTTCGCATAAAGCCGTTTTGCTCAACGCCTCCAGCATCTTTCCGCAACGCTATGGCCTTCAAGTAACATTAAACCGAGCGTTGATTTTCATGATTAAGGTCGTTTTGGCTGTGGTAAACTTAGCCGGATTCAACTCACAAGTTTCTAGGAAACTGGAGTATTTACTAGCCAAGCTGCGTATGGTAGCAGCCAGCATTTCGAAAGTTATTTAATTATGCCGTACGCCGAATTCGCTTGTAATAACCCATTGTTAGCATACTGGGTCTTCGTGGGTCTACGCAATTGTAAAGGAGACTAGCCAGATTTAATCGGCTTTAACAACAATAATCTTAAATACAACTAATTTTCGTAATGTCATACCAATTTATTAGATAATATAAAATGGAGAGAAATTTATAAACGGTTACATCAGAAAATCTCTCTAAATGATAAGGTAGAGTCGTGAACAGCTCAGAAGATTCCTGGCAAAATTTGTTGTTTACTGAAAAAGCTACCTTTAGATTTCTCTCATCAATATCTATTTCGAAACATGGACATGTTACTGTTTTGATATGTGTTTACAAAAAAATTATGAACAATAAAAAACATTTATTCAAAGCTACTATATTACGCGTGGCTGGTCTGCAAATAGTGTACTATGCGTCTTTTCTCTACAAATATCCCCATTAAAAACAAAAAAGTGTGTATCTAGGCAAACGATTCATTTATTTGACCTTTCTAATAAGCAAAAAATGTGCAGACCCAGTCAAATGGACATCCGTGGCAAGTATGAAATTACAGTAAGGAAAAAATGCTGCTTTTCTATTTAGACCTCTCCTTATGTTGTAATCCATAGCTTTAACCTAACTTCGATTTCGGTGCAAATCTTCTGTTTCCCGTTTCGTCGGCCTATGTTAAAAATCAAACTGATATAACGAATTTCAGCTACCGTCAGGCTGAGTGGGCATAACAGACATTAAATAAATTCAATTAGATCTATGGTTGATTGAAAAGACACACATTACTTTCGGATCGGGTTTGAGATTGGCCGCGGCGGAAGTATGTGCTAGACCCGAGTAACGTATTTTCATATACTTGTCTGATGGTTAAGGATATGTTGAAATGGCTCACGCCGTCCACGATACCCTTTGATGCTACGCGATTGTTTTCTGTCAACCTAAAGCTTTGTTTCAATTGGTAATACCCACGGCGTACGGACCGAAGAATTGCTAGAGCTGTTTGCGCCGCTAAGGACGCGTCACCACGGAACTCCTTTCTAGCGTTGCCCGACGGGCAAAGTAGACAACTGAATTTACTCTAGATATTTGCTCAGAGGCGTCGAATTATTCACTTGCATGAAGGTGGGCAGAAGTAGTGATCTAAGGGCTAGTTACATTTTCTTTGAAGAAGTGGCGTAATACATAAACAAGTGATTTTCCATTTTTTCTCTGTCTACCTTTCACCTGGTCACTTCTTTTGTGAGTGATAGTCAGTCCGTATCAACCCATTCTCCAGTGTAATCCAATTAGAAAAAAAACTGCACCGGGTCTCGTAGCGGCCCGGTTTCGTAGACGTGTTCAGCATGCGTTGGGGCACAGCAAGACGAAGGTTCGGTGGCAAACCTATAAACGGTACTACTAATTAAAGCAGGCTCGTATCTTACGGAGGAGACGCACCTGGTAGTTTCACCTTATCACATGCGTGCAATCCGTGTCATCAATGAATATAATATGGAAAGGCGTATAGCACAGCTAAGTTAACAAATCCTATTTTTTTTCACGCAAACTATACTTAGCTGTCGGCAGTAATGGTAGCCAAGTAGACGTTGTAAGGCCTAACTATAACCTGACAAGGCATAATAAACGACATGAATAGAACGGTTGTTAGTTTTTGGTAAAAAAAAAAAAGACTACATTTTCCATACTCATAGTAGTAAATATATCCATACAATAGTTCGATGTTTGTCATTGATGAATGCAAATCGTCTCAGCCCGTGACGATCGGATAGTAATAGAAGAGCTGTCTAAAATCACCACTGTTATCGGGATATACGTAGTATAGTATGGAATAGATATAATAGTAGAAGATAAGAAAAGATCGACGCCATCCACGTACCTACTTTCAAGCAAGCCTACTTTTTTTGTAGCATTAGTAGACACCTGTGTTTTTCTTTAATGCGCATGGTTTTCTACTGTCCATAGATGGTTTATCTAGAGGGAGAATTGCTCGAATAGAACACCCACGGGATCTGACCGTAGTAAGCTACATGCACTCAAACCTAGATTAAATTCAAATTAATTATCGATATAGGCAAGGCAATGCATAAA